GTCCGCTCGTAACGTTTCCCAGATCTGCTCATTATGAGGACACGTTACACATCACCCAACGCTTGGAAATTGGTCGCTCTCTGTTGTTGGTGGAATTCTATTAGGTAGCCGAGTCTCTTGCTTCGCACCTTTTTTTGCCCATGCGCCGTTTCCCTTGTCTGGTCTGCTGATTACCAAAGTAATTCTCTGATTCACTAAAGTAATACGTCGGCATAGCTATAATAGAGCGACGTGGCCTCCACGGCTTTGTCATGTTTCTTTTTAGTAAGGCTGTGGGCAGCAACGTAGTCGTCGCGGCTTACCCGTGTATAGGTTTACTTTAAGCAGATTTCTGATCGTTAATGCTGCATAAACTTTATGGTTTGTGTCCGTTGCGGTGACCGCGCAAATGAACGCAGGACAAGTAAACACACAATTCACCATAACACATCCAAACACAGGACTAGTGAACCAACGGACAAGTTAACACGCAGAAAAGTGAATACCGGTATATAGAACATAGACAGCTGAACCCAACAACTGGGTTTGAAAAGGCCTTGCTGAGATAATCGTGATTCTTGACTTGTTCTTGTAAATTTATGTTTACTGCTAATTCGCAATGATTGGTTCCTAAAGATTTCAGCTACTTTTATAAAGATGTAAATGTTTTTAATGTGCTGAAAATTATTTTACAAAATTGTGTAAATAACCATTTTTATTATATTTCGTTTTGTTTCCTAAACTGAGTCTATTGATTTCTTATTAAAAAAACATTAACATGTTCTACAATATTGTTTAACATTTGTAAAAATATCTAGAAAATTCTTATCTTTTATGATAATTTGACATTGAAATGCTTTAAATTTCATTTTATTTGACTCCTATATTTCTAATATTGCTTAATTGATTTTTTTTCTCTTTTTTAAAGTGGTCCATTTAGGATTTTCCATTTATCTCTGACGTCAAATGTATTATGAGGAAAACTATTATTACCACATGCTTCAAAATTTGCAAGGTTTTTTCTATTATATTCTTTATATAATGATTGATGTTTTTTTTATTACATGTCTCATAAACAAAATTCCGAAGTTTTTATGATCTTATTATTTTTATTAGACTCGAGGCTAGTGGGTTGTTGGGAAAATGCATTCATTTATACTCTATCAATTATATTATATATCTATGCACTTAAATTGTTTTTTTAAATTAAGGAGTGGAATGTGTTCATGATGTATGCATCCAATGTTGTTCAAATAACCTTTAATTTTTTAATAACCAATTGTCAGTGTCTTTTTCAGCTTTTATCGGTATAGCATTATAATTTTTTTTTTCTGACGTCAATTGATGAATATACCGGGTATATCCAACTAGAAAAGGTTTATAACATTTTTACATTTGCTACTCCTGAAGAGTTCTCGAATATTTATGTGACCCCCACATACATGCCATTTGTAACACTTCCAATAACTGCTGTGTAATAAGCTTCTTTAAACTTTATGTCAATGTTATTCTTAATTTGTATGCCAAGTTTCATTTAAAATACAGTAAAATAAGTTACAATACAATGCAATACAAATTTGTCTTTATTCATTTTGCTTAAAAGTCAAAATTGGTATAAAATTTTTAATTTTTTGCAATAAAAGTCACAACAAATTTTAAAAAAATAAAGTGGATTTTTGTCTTTCTGTGTGTGTATGGTTTGTATGTACTAAATTTTTTTCAATGGCTCTATTTATCAGTATCAGTGTTATCAGTATTTTATTTTCAATGTGACATGACTTAGTTGCCTTGAAACTAAACTCCCTTCACAGCTCACATATATTTGCTCCCACTCAATCATTACATCTGTACTTAAATGAAGAAATGATAGAAACAATATTTAACTGTACGGGTACCAACAAGGAATGTGAGAAAGTAAAAGGAGACAAATGGCAAAGGAATGATGTGACCTAATTGAATGAGTTTATTGGCTGCCTACTCCTTAGTGGCCTCTAATTTATTTTATGGATTACTTGAGTACACAACTCAAATAACTAACAACCAAACAAAAATGTTCTCAAGTCAGTTAAGGTTGTTTTTTTTCTATTTAATTTTAAATTATGTACCAGTGTGTTAGACCCAGTAGACAGATATGGTAAAAAAAAAAGACGAGTCCTCCAAAAATAAGTCTCTTTCTCATGCTTTATACAATGGCATCCTTTAACTTTAAGATGTTCATTGCAACTACCTTGTGAATTAGGTCCAGTCAAATGAGAAAAGTTGTTGAAAGGAGATTCGAGATTACAGGAAAAACAGTCAGTGTCCGCATGTATGACTCCCAGTGCCAAGGAAAAAGTTTAAAATTGGTGGTTTTGTTCTGACTAAGCAAAGCTCTCTAGAGGAATAGTTGAAATTAATTCATTATGAATGAAATTTTCATTATTTAGAATACCTATTAATTCATAAAGTACTGTGTGATTAAATCTTTTAACTTAAACAATACACATAAATAATCTTAAATAAAGGATTTAATTTTAATAATTAAATTAATATTATTACTTTTCTAAAATTCAAATGAAAATAAAAAAAAAGATACAAAAAAAAAAAAAAAAAAAAAAAAAAAAAATAAACCATACCAAAAAAAAATTAAAAAAGAAAAAAAAAAAAAAAAAAAAGAATAAAACTATGAATCTATGAAATAACAAGGAGAAAAAACAATTTAAAAAAATAATTCTCATACTATTATTGTTATCACACCCGGCTCCGAAGCCATTTAATCTGTACGGAGCCACTCCGGGTGCGAATAGTCATTTACTATAGAGGCAGCCATTTGGGAATATCCGGTTGAAATTGAAACTGAGAGAGATCGGGTTTTCTCGTTAATCATTACTCATTTCATAGTCATTACATGGTTTCGTTGTTGATAATGATTGTTTTCATTGTGTCACGGAAAAAATTGGGTATTTTGAATTATATTTCATTACTAAGTGAAGTTGTGTGATTGAATTATATTTATTCACAATCGGCATCTGTGACGAGTGAGGACTGGTCAGTAACTTTGTGAGTGACTTTGTCATGTCATATGAAGTGAATCATTTAATTTGATTTAATCAGATTTAATCATTAACCTTTTAACTTTTACTAGTTTTGACTTTTAGTTTTGGCTGCGGCTATTCGGACCCGGTATCAGAAGTGAGTGGTTGGTTTTATACAAAAAATATTAACATTAAAAATATTATTGTAGGGTTTGTATACAAAATTCGGTATCAAATGAAAGATAATTGATAATTTTTAGTCTAAAGGCACCCGGGTCCGAAAAGCGGCAATGCGTGTCCCGATCAATTTTGCTATTCGGATGTCATTTGTTGTAGTTTATTTAAGTTAAACTGAAGAATTAAGTTTACAAACATACAGTCCATTCAATTATCTTTCATTCGTTACCAAATTTTATCTTACAAAACCAACAATATTTTAAACATTTTTTAATCCCAACCTCTCATTTCTGGTAGCGGGGTCCCAATAATAGCCAGGGTAATAAGGGGAGAGACTGCAATCAGGTTCGCACAATGTAAAATGAGTATAACAAAGTAGGGTTAAACCTGAAAAAAGGAACACAACAAAACAACAAACATATCGGCAGAAAGCCTTCGTCAGCGAACAAAACAACAGAAAAAAACGGTATAAAATAAAAAAAAAAAATTGCACTTAGCTTAGAAGTAGTATCCGTCGGCAGCAAAAGAAATGTCAATAGCAACTTTGTTTAGTTTTAGACTTTGCCACTTTTTATTTTTGTCTTTTACTTTGACTTCACACGAGTAAAAACTCGACTTTAAACTCAACTAGTAAAAATTCAAGTCATCCATTCATTTCTATTGGATTAATATTTAAGCCAAGGCAAGCATAACTCAACATTATTTATAGTAAATACTAAATAGTTAAACGGTTGAGGCGACAACACTAGACACATTTGTGTCTATTGCCTCAAGCCTTCAAACCCCTAGTGCATGATTTCCTCATCAACACCAGTAACAGAAACATTGCAAATCCCATCTACATGCATAGGAGCCAAAATGATCAATAAATTGATCGTGGGCCCTTAAGATATAGAAGAAGAAGAAATAGAGCATATTCTACTAAACTATAGTATAGTATTAGTATAGCATATAGAATATACTACTTACTATATTGTATAGTCTAACTATTGAGTATAGTTAGCATAGTATAGCCTTCTTATTATTCTACTATTTGATTGGGAGTTAGGCCTCACTTGGGGAGGGTTTACCATTTACTAGTATTTTGTACGAGTAAGTGAGTTATCACCCTTAAGACATTTAAAATTATTATGTCAAAAGATCAGTGTCTTACCTCACTAACTTACTACTGCACTAGTAGTTGTATGTTATTCTGTTGGCTGGAGGATTTGAATGAGAAGACATGCTAGGGAGGAGTATGGCCCAGTTCCTAACTATGACATGATGGCTAGGAACTGACCACAAACAAGGAACTGATGGATCTGAATCGAGCTAGCCAGAGGCTATGCCATGGAAGCAGGTCTGCTGAAGAGTTCTCTGTGTAAAAAAAAACAACAATTGTTTACTTTTAGACACCCATTGTGCCAAAACAATTTTAAATGTCATTGCTTTAATGCCTTTAAATTTAAAAAAAATGTTCACCTTAGATGTGACCCCCACCATAAAATAGCTGTAATTAACTCTTATTTTAATTTATTTTAGTTAATAATATTGATATTAAATTAATCATAATTTATTTTGGAAGACTTGTGTTTGTATTGCAACTTCATAATAAATATTGGTATTGAAAATACAACCTTCAATAATGCACTTTTTATTCTACAGAAGCTCATTATTTATTGAAAAAGTTGATAGGCTGCTTTTATTTAAACATAACTTATTATAACCAAAAACTCTATCTGGATTTAAAGTTTAGGCTTAATTCATGAAGTAACCTATTCACAGACAACTATCACACCAAGAATAACAGCATCAATCGGAAATTGATATTGCCTCTTCTTTTCTCTAAAGGAGAGACACTTGAGGACCAGCCATGTCAGAGCCAGCAAAATACAACATTAACCTGTGTCATAATCAAGACATTACCACTGTCAAGGTACCTTTTAAACTGTGCTTTTAAAGGAATGTGATAACATCCCAGATTATTATTACTAAACAAAATGTTTAGGGACGTTACAGATGATATAAAGAAGATGCAAAGTGTTTAGCTTGACCACACAGGTTTATCGACATTTAACTTGTTTTAACCTTACCAGGATCAATAATTCATTTCCTTCAACTCATTATAAAATTAAAGAAATGATTATGCCTACTTTTTTCTACTAGTTGATAATTTATTTTTAGCGAACATTGGCATATATTTGTAACTTTATGTCTCCCATAGACTTCTTTCCATCAGATCTAAGAACCTTGCAGTTATACATTAGCATTCTCCCATTAAAGCCAACATAGGGAAACACATAGGTTAACAATATCGGTAAACATAATAATATTCTACTTATTTTAAAAAAAAGTTAAATATAAATATTTTCCTTCTTCAACTAGGCTGATGTTCTTGTAAGTTCCATTCACAGAAGTAAGAATTTGCAAAGAGGAACACTGGCAACTTACATTCACAAGAATGCTGGACCTGAAGTCCAGAGCTCACTATACATGGTAACTTGTGGATAAATTAGTTCTTGAAGATATGTTGGTTTTAAAAAGGGGTAATGTTTGTTAGAAATTGAGTTTTAAAAAAAAAAAAATTGGCTTCATCTGATTTTAATGAATCACAGAATAAAGAATTAGGTTTAGATGAAGTGCGAATAAGAAACTTAAAAAAAAAAATCAAGTGAATGAGATTGACTTTAAAAACTGCTAGACACACTTTGTGTTGTTGTTTTTTTCTCTCAATATCAGAAATAAACTTTGTAACTATATTAATATAATGAAGGGTTGTGTGATCTAAGCCGTGAACATTATCTTTTAAAGCAGGAACACAGTGAGCTTGTTTTTGGCCAGATAGTCACAACCCCGCCAGGTAGACTGTCCAGAAACTTTAAATGTCTCCTGTTTGTCTGCTTATATGAATGGAGAGATGGAAATGAAGAGGTCAGTGGATGAATCTTTCAACATGTTTCTCATCAGTTATATAGCACCATTTTCTTAATATCATTAAATCTAAACAGCACAAGTCAAAGAAGCCAAACTTTGCGTGACGATCAAGTTAACACTGTGCCTAATTTGACATTGACTTCTGCAAGTTTAATTTAAATTTAATATTTTAGTTTTAATTAACCTTTTGTTTGCTGTAAAGATGAGTCACAAGGGAGGAAAAAAAATGGAATTTATCAATTTTACATCAGCAACAGCTTACATTTTAAAAAAATATTTCTACTTGTTTTTTTCCTCCAACAGATGCTTCAAGCTAGTGTTTTCAGTTGCTTGGATATTGCATCAAATAACAAGCACAAAAGTATTGCCTTCCCAGCTCTTGGAATGGGGGGCCTGAAGTATCCACCTGTTAAGTCAACTTTGGCCATTTTGAAAGCAATCAACCTCTATTTCAGAGACTGTGAGCAGACGTCATTGGAAAATGTCTATATTTGCCTGCAGGACAAGAATAGCAGCTCTGTAAAAGTATGTGTAGTTTTAAAATGAAAATGTAGTGATGCGTTTTAAAAGGTAGCACAATATAATTATGATGAGGAAAAAATTATTTACAAAGCCTCATTGAACTCATTGCATCGATTCATTATCTAAAATGTTAGTATGCACCAACCATCAATGTAAATGATAAAAGTTCACCAGCTGTTACAGGATGTTAAATAAGGTCTGGTATCTGGTAGAAGATGATAAAAAAGGTGTTGTAGCTGGTACAAGGGGATAAATGTTTATTAGCTGGTACAAGATGATAAATAAGGTGTGATAGCTGGTAGAGTTTTTTTTTTTAAAGCTCCTGGAAATATGTTTCTGTTCTCTGTACTGGATGAGTCACTGTGTTATCGACATGGTAGAAGTGGTTCAATACAGTTTGAGAAACACTGATATAAATTACTAAATTACTATATGACAAATTGTTATATAGAGCTTGTTTACATAATTTTTCTCGTGCGTGCCCTCTGATTGACCCCGCATGAGACGCTGTGTTCACAGAGGGGTGTGGCTTAGTCGTTTGATCTGTCCTGTTTATGCCGACAGCCACTAAAAATAATTAATCTGTTCTAAATAGTATTTTGTAGAATGAATGTGATTGTTCTAGAAACGTCATAAGTCTTTCTGGAAGGCAGGGCTTACGCGACCTATATAAGGGATTGACAGGCACGGATGAAGGGACGGAGATTCAGATAGATATTATTAACTTTACGAGGCGTGTATTATTCCTTGTGTATTTGTGTGCTCATACTCATATGTGTTTATTTCGCACTTCATCATTATTCTTTGGCACATTATTCTAACTGTATTAACTGTGTACCGGTACAAGATCTACCATACTGTAAGTTGAAGATTGTCATTATATTTTATTTTCTTTTGTAATTATATTAAGACTTAATAAATCTTATTAATTGTAACTAGAAACTGCTTTGGGTGTTGTATCTTTAATATTGTTGATTCTATGGTATCGTCCTTTGTTAGGCACTGTTTACAACGAGCCAATTAAAATTAAAATAGGAGATTAATTTCTCCCAATACAAGTCAGTGCGTAACACAAATAAAGTTAAAATGACTACAAAAGAAAAAAAAAAAAAAGACTTTAAAAAAATGGGACCATTAGTGAATTGTTTCTAAACTTAACTTACAATGCTTACACCTGTTTTGACAACACTGTCATTTTTCTTTCCAGACATTTATGGATGTAACCACTGGTTACCTGGAAAGTCTACATGTAAATTTAGGAAGTAAATCAGGAGGGCCAGAACTGAACATAAAAGGTCATCAGCAATTTGCTAATACACTTAGTGGAGACATCTCAAGGCAAAGCAAGACCACAATACATAATACCTCACCAGCTTCTGGTAAGAGTAATTTCCCTTCTATAACCATAATTGCTAGTTAAGTTAAGATGTACAATTATTTTCACAATATTTGTACAGTTTGTAAATTTTTTCATGGGACTAAAATAATAACTCCCATTTCACTCTTCCCCCCCCCCCCCAAAAAAAAAAAAACCCCATTTCACCCTTCCCCCCCCCCCCCAAAAAAAAAACAGCAAACACCCGAGTTGTCATCTCATTAAAATAAAATTTAAAATTAAGGAAAATTATTCTGATCTCAACAATTTTTAACATATTTTGTTATGGACACATTTTAAAATAAACTTGTTGAAAATATTAAGCAAAAAAAATTTATCTGTGACTGTTTCCAAAATAATGCATCTAATATTATATGTCATGACGAGTCGTAATCATATTTTATAACTTAGTCCATTGTTTATTATTTTTGTGTATGTTGATTTTCACCTGATTATGTTCACATAAATTTAAAGCAATCAAGAAGACATATAAACATTTAGTTTACCCTTTTTTCCCCCCTTCCGAAAAGAATTTTTAACTATGTCTCATTTTTTATTTATGGACATCCTAAAGCTTTTACGGACAAGTCAATTTTAGGACAAATGTTTACTGACTGTCTGTAAACCTATGTACGGTTGTCAACCCAAAACCCCCCCCCCCTCCCCCCCTGTCTGTAGCTTAGCCAATAGTGAAGCCACTCCCCATGAATTGGGTGTTTCAAGGATATTAAAAAAAAAGGCAGATTTTCGATTAAAAAAAAACCCCACCTTTTTTTAAATTAAGAAAAAATATTTTTCATGGGTTTAATTACGGAAAGAAAAAAAAGCGAAAATACCTAAGATGATTTTAAGCAGCATTAAGAAAATCTAAAAACCTGTCTCCACCGGTTGTCTTGTCCCATAAATATCATGCAGATCCAAAGTGAATGGTGGAGATAATAAATACCCAATACAGGATGGTTTTTATTGCATGAAGGTACGCTGCCTATCCAACTATTAAAATGTGTGACAGTAAAAACAGCTGCCTATTGAAGTGAAAATAACGCAGAGATCCAACAATGCAGTAACAATGTACCCGGTATCCAACAATGCAGTTACAATGTATCCAACAATGCAGTAACAATTTACTAAATGATAACTGTCATGAAATTTACCATATAAAAAAAAAAATTCCCCAGACCCCTCCCTGTCTTTCATTATCTGACATTGATCAAAATTTCCCCCTCACCCCACCCAAAAAAAAAACCAAACTAAGATTGGAAGCAACTGCTTCCTTTCCCCCCATGTCTAGATGTCACTGCCCGAACTCTTCCTTTTCTCTTAAACTTATTTAATCATATTTTTTATCCACAAACCGTTCAAAATTTCCATTCATTATTTCCATTGTGTGCTGGAAAATTACATGAAAGGATTTGTCACAAATTTTAATAAATGTAAGTGATCTTCATTTTGAACTGTTACAATATTATTAAGTTCATTTTATGAATCTCCTTGAATGCAAAAATAAAATAATACTGAATTTCCCCCTAATGCTCTAATATTTGCAGGAGCGGGATCCATACAAGCAGCTTCCATGTTTCCATCACTGATACAAAAGTGCAAATCAGGGAAAGACGTGGCAGCATTGTTTACTATTCAAGGGAACAAGAATTCAGTTATATACTGGAACATAGGACCGACCTTTAACCCAACCCAGAATACAGTGGGTGTTAAAGCTGAGGTCAGTTTGCATATCCCAAAAATGTTCACAGCCTTTTTTGGTCGCAGATGAACTTCAAATTTGAACCCAACTGAAGCTTGTTTAACTCTTTACCAGCAGCATGCAAAATATATCGGCTTAGCAAAAGGTATTCATTTTGTAACACCCCAAATCAATTCTTGTTTTTGTCTCACTTAAAATTTATATGAAACTTGAACTTCTGGGGAACAAAAGTAGGAGTTACATAAACATAATGGATAAATAAATACTAGTATAAATTATAGATAATTGTAACATTTTTATAATCACTCTTTTTTTCATTCACTAAGAACTAAATAAAACTTGCCATAATTTATCATATATTTTATATTTCTGTCCAGCTTACATTTGTTATTCAGTTATTGTCAATGTTAAGGCTAATCTGTTTATTAGTTTTGAAGGTGTTTGTCTTTATTATTTTTTTCATGCAGACAGCAGGCAAGGAGTTGATCATTTTGTTAGTTTTACAAAAGTGAAATAAAATTATCTGATTTCAATGGTATATGTGGGAAAAGTGAATTTTTATGGAATCAGATTTCATAAAAATTCACTTTTCCCACATATACCATTGCTTTAACTTTTAAATGGTAATTTTTTGGGGTACATTTTAAACTTTTATGTTCCTGTCTGGCCGGGATGTCTCGTGCAGTTTTTAAATATCAAATTTAACTGTTTTAACCACTTTAATATGTCTTTTTAAAATGATATCCTTAGTTTTACTTATTGCATTATTCTTTCATGATGAGTGCTTCTATGTTTTGTACAGGATATTATATTCAGACTCATATTTTCTTGGGCACTATAAAAATTTTAAATTTTAAATTAAATTTAAAATAATGATTTTTGTGTACAAAATGACTCGATGCATCTAACTGAATGATTTATTTCATGAACAAATCTGGAAATAATCCACTCAAATTCTTATATATTTAAATGAACCATACTTTGCATTACAAATGACTTACACAAATATATTTGTGTCATAAATTATGTATATCTAGTTACATGTCATCATACATTCAGTAAGGATGATATTTAAAAAAAATTCCTTTTTAGTGATTTTATGACATTTTATCTGAATGAAAACTGTGGTCTTTTTAATCTCTTAGCTACATCCAATCTCAAAACAGAAGAGTTGCTTTCTTAATAGATCATGGTGCAATTTGATTACATACGTAGATCAGCAAATTGAACCTACAGGTTGTGAACCTAAAGGTTGTGCACCTATAGGTTGTGAACCTAAAGGTTGTGCACCTACAGGTTGTGATCCTACAGGTTGTGAACTTATGAGGGGGTGAAATAGAATTAATCAGGTGTCACAGGTTTTTTGTTACACGAAAATAAGAAATATTTTCTTAAAAATCATATGTTTCCGGCCTTCTTGTCTTAACCAGCATCTCACTCTAGATCTCAAAATGCAATATTTTTCTCAAAAGACATTTCATTTTTTAAGCCTTTTGTATGGCAGTCATGAATGTCTTTTTTTTAATCAAATTTTGTTAATATTTATTTGGCTCTTTCACATCATGCTAATTATTCTTTTGTAAATGTTGGATTTGATTTAAAGAGTACATAGGTACTACTTTTTATGTTGGGTAATCTCATTTATATTTTCAAACCATGTGAAAGAGTTACAAAATGTTCTTAAAGTAGATACTGTAAGCTTTATTTATTCAATACTTTGAATTGTCACAAAAGTTTCACACAACTATGTTGTTTTTTTGGTGTGTTTTATAACTTCAATATTGGGGGGCAATTTGTGATCCCTTGGAATCAATTTTTCTTAGCTTCAATGTTTTGCCTTTTAACAAAATGCCAGTTGTGATATTTCTATTTTGTTGAAGATATTTTTTACATCAGACTAAACCAGGCCTGCACAATATGCGGCCCACCAGCACCCCACTTTTATTATTATTTTCTTAATAGCTTCCCCCCACCCCCCTCTTCCTATTTTCTTTCGGCCAGCACCAGTTTTTCATTAAGTATTACATTTTGAGTTGTGCTGGCCTGAACTAAAAAATCAATAAGAAACCGACTCACATGACCGACTCACAGCTACTTAAAAGAACTAAGGTAACATATTTTTAAATTTCTCATTAGCCCTATAGCCTTATTTATGCATGTTTCACGTTTTGGTTATGTTTGACTGCAATAAATGAAAGTGTATTTTGTTAAATTCAGTTAATGAGTTAATGTAATGTAAGTTGACAACTGTGATATTTTTGGATTACTTTTATTGACTATTTTCAAACTCATTCTGGTTTCTTAAGGTATTTATAATGTCACTGCATTGTTGTTTTAAACTCTGATAGTGTGACCATTTTATAATGCCGAAGCATATCTAAGAGTCATCCATACAAATGTTTATTTATTTTATGTTTTCAAAACATTTGATATTGTCACATCTTGTAACAATACATGTTTATATTTTAACATGGTCACCTATATGTGAACATACAAACTAGATAACATCTTACTTCAAAAAAAAAAAAAAAGCTGTTTAAGATTTTACTTTTAGACTTTAAACATCATTGATGCTAGTATTTTTAAAAATGTGCAAGTTTTTATTTTATAACCCTCAATATGTCAATATATCTAATTTGAGATACACTAAAATCTAATTAATATTTTTAATATATATAATCTATAGATATAGATATATTAAAATTGGAATGTGTACATCTGTTCCCGATTCTAGAATGAAATAACAAAGAAATAGTTTATTTTTACTGTGATTTGTTTAAGATGCTATGACTTACTGGCTGTCATAGTTCAAGGATGGAAGGCTTCCCTCCCCCGTTAGTGTCCATAAAACATATGGATGACATCATTATGCTTAACATAATCTATAGTTTAACAAGTTACTTGTTCTGATTAAGGTAGTGCCTTTGGTCAAATTTTTTATAAAGTTTGCATCAACAATTGATTACAAAAACACTAACTATTTTTATAGTGCTTCCATATTTATGAATATCTATAAAAAAATTTTAGAACAAAAATATATTGAAGAATGTCAGACATGCATTAAACAAACTAATCTATATTGTCTACAGCCAGCCAATGTTTAACTTGGTTCAGTTTATCTCTAGTGTCTACTGCCAGCCAATGGTTAACTTGCCTCAGTAGCCTTATTGTTTTGTGTTTGAGCACCCAAACTGGCTCATTGTATTTAAGGCTCATGTGGCTTTTTAAATTTTTGTATGAATAAATGGTGAACTTTTTATTATTATTAAATATTGAACTTTTTTTTTTTTGCTAATCTAAAATGCCAATAAGATCATCAAACCTGCCTGTCACCCGCTTGCGGCTACCTTAATATTTTCTTAGCAGACATAATTTCTGTAATTGGCTCTTCACTCAATAAAAGGTTGCCGCCTCGTGTACTGTTTCACTGAAGGTGTCATCAAGTCGTGACATGTACAAATTAAATGTTAAATGAGATCCACAGCTAAGGATGTACTTACACGAGTCGGATCAGATCACATAGAGGTTCTTAAATGCTGTGTTCAGACTTTATGTCGATAATGCCCCTCAACCCCCTTTTTCTTTTTTACACACACTTGGTCAGTGTTTTATTCTATAACCTGCCTTTAGGCTTGTGTACTGGTCAGTTTCTACAGTTTAAACATTTTATCACACATGTTTATTTACTTAATCATTTTATGGTTACATGGCTTTAGCATTATGTTTTTATCTTTCATTTTTATATTGTATGTGTCTAGAATTAAATCATTATCAGCAATTTTACATCACATTTATTTCTATATGTAAACTTGTCAAGTAGATGAATGTCTTACAACGCATATTTTCCCAAATTTGTGACATAGTCCCTATATGATTGTCTGTTCTTCCATATGTGAACATTTACACCATTAATTAATACCTATGAAATAGTCATGTTGCTGTAAGCATTGTTACACCATAACTATAAGATTGTCTGTTTTTCTATTTCTGAATTGTAGCAAACAAACAAAAAAATTGCCTGTTATATTTTTGCATTGTTACACCATGTAACCAATAGCATTATAATATGTGTGAAATGTTACACCATCTGACCAATAAATTTTGTGTTTTTTATGTGTGAAATGTTACACCATGTAATGCAACCAATAAAAGAAATCTATCAAAAGGTTAAGTCTGACTTTATTGACGTCACACCCAACCATCTAGGGACCATAGCTTGTTGCTAGTGTTGCTTCACAAAAACTCAAATACTCTGTATAAAATAATTTATATTACAATGTTTATGATGAAGAAAATGAACGATTATCTAAAAAAGAAATTTGGAACTATGACTCCATTAATTACCCAATTTTAGAAATATAACGCCACTAATTGCAAAATTCTTGTCAATACCAAGGCAAACCTTGAGGACATGTTGAAGCCATCCTCCTCCCCCTCTAAAATATAAAAATACCCCCCCCCCCCCCAATTTATTCTGTTCTTAACACAAACAAGACACCTAATGCCTAATACTAACAAAACACTCATAACCATCCCTAAAATAAAAAATAGACGTAACATTAAAACAATAAATACGTAACTGTCCCTCCCTCATCCCATTTAAAATAACATGAATACGAATTAAGGTATAACGTGGTGTACCTTTAGACCTATTATGACGTCATCCGTTCAGTTTCTAAAAATAAATATCGTTTACGGTTATTTCCCTTACCTCCCGTAAACTACATTACTGTTTGGGGGCTTCCCGTTTCGCCAGGTCATTTCCTTGTGTCAACTTAATGGGAGTAATCATTGTCTCCAACAAATCCATTTCATTCTAGAGCAATGGTTCTCAACCTTTTTGGATCGCGACCCCTCGTTTGGGGAGCAAAAAGGATCATTTTCATCTTTAACTACTTTTCATTTCAAATTAAGGAAATAGTTGAGGAATGAAAAGGATAAAATCTGAAAAAGGACGCCACAAATCAACGAATTAGTCGAAAAAAATCCTTCTTCGGCGAAAAAGCAAAACTATGTGCTGTCCACTGTTCAAAACAAACCAGGAACCTATAATATTCGTATACTTTCTGAAACAAGAACTTATCAGCTGGCTTCGCTAATCATTAATAAATCACCCAGAGCGCCATAGAACGGGAATTTCCCATCTTATGTTGATGTTTTTTTACCCATCTAAATTCTAAACTTCTGGCGCCTGGAGAATGTATTTGTGTTAGTTTAAAGATCCACCTTTCCATGGTGGATCTACTAGGCGCCCATTAGTTGATAAATAGTGGCAGTGGACTATAGATTTGAAAACCATTTCAATTTGGAAAAGTAAGTTGTCAATATTTTAAATAAAAATAAG